TAGTCTAGCCTAGTTTTAAGCTAAGACATATAAAGGATGCTTAGTTCCAGTTAAGTTGGATGAAAATATATTCATATACTGTATTGCAATAATATGGTATAAAAAGGAAAACGATTTTGTAAGTTGATCATAAGTATTATAGTTTTGTCTAACAATGAGATAGGACTTATAAAGTATGTTTAGTTCAATTAAGTTTGAATATTGGGTAACATCATATTAAGAGTGCGTATGTGTGATAGGAACGAAGAATAGAATTATGTCCTGTGACACTACTAGGTGTCGATGTAAGGATTACATACCGATGTACGCTATTATATTCCTTTGGATAACCAAATGTGGTGGGTCCGATCAGGCAGTTGAAACGATATGTCTGGTCATCTACCAGAGTAATATGACAACACTTGATTATTCTAGACGGTCTTATTAATTACATTGCTAGTGTGGACTTATAACACACAAACGTAGATGAAATGGGATATCATATTTATCAAATACTATGATGGCTTGAATTGCCTTAATGACTTACACCAGCCAAGGAAGCCCTAGCTGTGTAGTCAAACCATTGCTCTAAACAATTCATCAAGTGAAATGATTCTTCCTGATAATCTTGGACTAGGATCTATGAGAATCGGTTGGGATGGGTATGTATAGGTGTAATGTTTTATAGATATCTAAGTTATGAGATATGTCATATGTCTATATTGTTTGGTAACAGTTGGTTTTGCAGGTTTGATAATTATAAATTATTATCATAATAATATTATGGGATTTAAATTTATATGTGTCTCACCAGGTTTCCTAATCTAACACACTTAAATTATATGTATCACAAGTAATAGGGTTAAAGTAGTTGGAACTTGATTAAGATGTCGAGTGATAAAGAGATAACCTTCAATAATGTTTGGGACCATTAAGTCTTTTCGCTGTAACATATTTTATGTATTAATGATGTGTGTAAAACGAACTAGTTTTAATCCTACTACTTTAAACACAAAATTAACACACGAAAGGCAGTGTACCTATCAATTAGCAATATAGTTCAAGCAAGTAGGGTATCCAACACAGAGAACAGTAAACAATTAAAACAAATGCTAATATTATCTAAATAAAACAAGTAATACAAGTAGGGGTTTATCTAGTTTTGCAAGACTAGAAACTTAAATAATCAATTAATACCCAAACATAGACAATTAACAACTAAGAAGAACAAGAAAGGACAACTAGATTCAATGATAAAAGAGACTTCTTTTCAGATTCGATTAACTTATTTCTATGGTTGATTTCCTGGCAAGTGCAATGGATCAATATGTCAATGGTTACCGATTCCTAATGTGATTGGGTTCATGTTCACTATTACCAATCCTTTAGTAGACAAGTTAATTCAAACAATGGTCAATTGGTTAAACTAACAAGTTTCCTAGTGTTTAGTTCGTATCAAGTAAGACTCGTAATAATAGCTAATCAAATTTGTTCAATTCAATCAACTCATATGTGGTTGTTCATCACACATGTTCACACATTGATTTACATATTTTCTAGTTAAACCTAGTTTCATGTTCATTATTCCTAGGCATACAATCTTGTGTTCACAAAACTATATGATTCAAGCAATCAAGAAGATGTTCATGCAACTCAATAACTTACTTATTAACAGAAAATATTTATCATCAATACATAAGGATCTTTAACAAGCTTAACAAGATGAATATCCAAATCAATATTAATCCAACCAATCAATCAAACCATGTTCATAAGATTATCTCATCCAAACGGAAGTATAAAGCTTTTAGCTCATATCTACAACAATTAATACCCTAAACTCAAAATCTAAGGATTCAAACATGGTTCAAAACAAAGATTAAGAAAAGAAGAATAATTATTTGCCTATGATCTCTTCTAAATTGTCTCTTAGGTTGCAATCTCGAAAACTGAAGCTCCAAGAAACCTTCTGATCTTCAATAATCGCAGCTAGCCTATAGAAAGTGTTAGGGTTTTTGGCATAGATGTTATTTATTTATAGTTACCAAAAATCAACCCAACTCGTCGAGTTTTTAAGAATAACTCGACGAGTTTTTTCTACAATCCGCGTATACGGCGTGTACGACTAGGCATCTTCGAATCTGGAACATTCTTACCAACTCATCGAGTTGAGGCCCAACTCGTTGAGTTCACTTAGAATTAACATTTTCTCAAAACATGAAAGTCGTCCGAAATTTGTCTAGTTTTCAGAACATTTTGAATCTCGTTAATCGGAGTTACGGTTCATGAGATATGGTCAAAACACCGAAGAAGGGTCAAGCTATCCAACAACATCCTTCTTTCATCAAAATTCAAGATCCAAGCTTCCAATCACCAATTCCGCTTCCTTTTCCTTCCGAGCATGTCTTTATTGTTGAAAATGAAATATTTAAGCTAATTAAGCGCCTTTTGTTCATTAAATGAGATAAAATCAACATAAAGTATTAAGATAATGCATGCATTTTATAACTAAATATGCTCATATCAATTAATTATGACATCCTTAAGATTTTTTATTTTGAAATAATATCTTTACTCAAGACATGTTAAAAAAACGAGATAGTTTCCGCACAATGTTTTATTGTACCGAAATTTTCTACAAACAAAGATATTGTGATTTTTAAAGCATAAAGAAAAGTTTTTTTGGTTCTAAAAAATAGGAGATGTCACATAAGGTTTTCCAAAGATGTTACTTGTAAGATCAGTAGCGATATTGATTGTTCAATTAGGCAATGAAAAGTTGATGAAGGAGATGGATCGGGAAAAAAGATTTAGGTGAGCAAATGAGGGTTAATAGGGGAATGGATGGTCACTACCTTCTTGTAGGTTGCATCAGCGGCGTACAGAGGATGGTGGTAACAAGCGGTTGTCAGATACTCAAGAGAGAAAGGAGAGAGACATAGGGGATGTGGTTTGATGGTGGTTGATGGTGTATAGAGGAAATTACTGTTTTCAACATGTAGAAGATAAGATCGCAAGTTACAATTAGACATAGTAAAGATTGATGGACAAAAACTGTGTTTGACCAAAACTTTGATCAAGGGCGATATCAACAAAAAGATCTAAATGTGAAAAAGCTATGAATGAAATTTAATCAAATGTCCATATTTCTTCATTTTTGAATTTATGTTTCTGTTTTAATAAATGAAATTTGGATATCATAAACTTTGTATGGTAATAATTGTGTGTATAACATAGTTAGACATTTAACTTAGCATCTTATTAGAAACTCAAATCATTTTTTCGATCATATATTGGTTGGGTTTTATGTAATGATTTTTTTTTTTTAAAAAAAAAAAAAAAAAAAAAAAAGGGTATTCCCTCATAGAGCAGGCTCATGAACCACTCTTTTAGGTAATGGAGCTTTCAATGGAAAAATAGTAATTAACCTAATAAGAACAAAAATTGGGATACATGATACCCACGAGTATACCCATAAATCCATAAGTACGATGGTTATTTGCTAACTCATAACCCAATGGGCCGAGACTAGGTTTGTGATACGGAATTATAATCAGTTATTTAAAAATAATCCGAAAGATCATAGAAAATAAAACGTAAACGACGTTTTTTTTGTTGCAGTGATTATTTTCTCTTTTCATATTGATTATTATTATTATCTATCAAGATCACCGATAAAATATTTGAGAAATTAATATGAGAGGCTTATGAATTACATACATGGTAAATTTTAGGCGCACTTTCGCATTATATTTGATCATTTAATGGTGTTAAAAACAAGAAAAATAACCCACAGATAAAAGGAGAGAATTTAGTCTATAAATTTACCAAAATACCGAAATCTTCTCTTCATTACTTCCAGTTTGTGAATTTGAAACCAATGATTTAAAGGGCAAAAGGGTATTTTCATAACCGTAATAATCATTCAACCTCATCATCCTCAACAATCATCTACAAAGTTTATATCGAAACAAAATAGAAAATCCCACAAACATTTCTACATCATAATCATAAGGTTAAATTAGTTTTACGATATAAATTTCACCAAACCCTCCTTCCATTAAAAAGCTTATTTCATATCCCATTTCTGCAAATTCTGCCATGTCACTGTCTTTTGGTAAGTTATTTTCGCATTATTCATCTTGGATTTTAACTGTATGTCTGTATTCTTTTCATTAATTTAATCAAAGATATGATTTTCAATCTTTCTTAGGATGACCCACAAAAAAAAAAACGTAACCCCATTATTGTTCATCATCAAATGTGTAATCTTTCATAATAAAAGTAGGGTTCTTTTTGTTTCTTGCTTAATCAATGATTGATACTTCACTTTAGTTATCCCCGTAGACGACAGATCTCTCTTCAATCGTCTTTTTCCCTTTTGGTTTTGGTTTTCGTTTTCTTTTTTGTTTTATGTGTTTTTCCTTTATAGAAATCCAATCATGTTGTATACCTTTTTTCATAATCTTCGATTTCATCATTTTTTATCAATCAAATCGTGTTTAAACCTTGTTCTTAATCATCTCCAATGCATTTCCTATTTCTTTTTTAAATTTGGAAACGTACAATAATTTTCGCGATTTGATAAAAAAAAAATAGTAAATGCAATATATATTTCATAAAAAGTATTTTAAATACTTAAAGATTAAAGATTTAGGACTCGTTGATATATGTGTATATTCTTGTATATTATATTGTTATTATATGATCTCTTTTACCCAAATAGATTTATTATCTTTAGAATGTCAGAATAATAGATATTGTAGTTGTCCTATTACACTCAAAAAGAATCAATGGCTATGAAAGCTATATATTGTACAAATGCTACAAAAATGGTGGTTGCTCCTTACGAAGGTGATTCCTTGTTCTTTAGAAGCTCATTAATGGGGATGGAGTTTTCCTTCATTTTTGTTTCAAACACGTTGTAGACAATGAAGATTCATATAATTAATGAATGGGAGAATATGGACGTATTGTTTGATTAGTGTAAAAGGTAGGAGAAGGTTGAATGTGAAGTTGCGATGACAACATTTTCTTCTACAGAAAACAAATTCTCAGTTCCAATCAAAGAGAAGAGCATGCAGTATTATCTTTATCCACCTCCAGTTGGCCAATATGAAGATGTTATGGCTAGTTACAAACTCTTCATGGATACTCTTGGGAAATTCCATGCTGCTATGGGAACAAAATTCAAGTAAGCTTCTGTTTTTTTTTTTTCTTTAATTTTTTTACTCCTTAAGCCCAATTCCAATAATATGGGTATATGAGCCCAATACTAACAATCATTGTCCCACATGTAAGCTATAAAACCTTAGAAGGAGAGATTTTTCATAAAGGTTTGGTTGTGTCACTAATCCCCCCAATTTGAGTTTTTCTTACTGTGATTTTTATTAAAGCTTTGAAGTTTGGTAGAAATGTTCAGTTTTACCTTTTTTTGTGGTTTATAAAATCATTTAAGTTTGGTTTTCTGGTTCATTAAAGCCTTTAAGTTTGACAGAAGTTATCAGTTTTACCGGAAAAAGTTGCAAAAAGAGTAAAATTGAAAATAAAAAGTTGCAAATTTGAGACAGTAATGGACCTAAAATACGACTTTGGGTAAAACCGACTGAAACTTGCAAACTTAAGGGTTTTTATAGCATTTCCCCTCTTATATATGGGAAGTTGTTGTGTACTTGATTTACAGTGTGATTGGCGAGCTCAGGGTTGTTGTGTACTTGATTTACTGGTGTTGTGGGCCACTTTAAGGGTTGTTGAGGAACTTGTTTGCATAAGAGATTGATGTTATTCTAATACTTTGCATGTTGTAGGATTCCGATTGTTGGTGGAAAGGATCTTGACTTGCATCGCCTATTTATGGAAGTCACTTCTCGTGGTGGCATTAAAAGGGTACGTGCCCTTTATCTTTCTTCCCATTACTTCTCATTTTCTTATCATTTTTGTTACCTGTTTCCATGTCATGATGAAATTGAAATTAATAATATAGGTTCTTGAAGACAAAAAGTGGAGAGAGGTGACTAATGTTTTCAACTTTCCACCCTCAGCCACAAACGCTTCTTTTATCTTGCGCAAGTATTACATGTCACTCCTTCACCATTTTGAACAAGTTTACTACTTTAAAGCAAAAGCATGGACTCCTGTTCCTACTGGTATGCCAATAACTCTTCACTCGACCAATTACATGTTATTCTAATTTCTACACCTTTCGACACTTTCACTCGAAAACATGATTAGTGTACATAACATTTAACAACTCCTTTTTTAATGGGATAATGCCTTAAAAGTCTGTAAGTTTTCATGAAATGTTCGGTTTTACCATTTTTTTTTATTTTGGTTCACTAAAACCGGAGTATACAATTTCTTTTTTTCAATGTTACCCTTTTTGCAGGTTTACCTGGTTAAACTGAATATTTCTACCAAATTTAAAGGCTTTAATAAACCAAAAATATGCAAAAGGATAAAATTAAAAAAAAAATGTTGCAAACCTCTAGTTTGTTAAAACCAAAAACAAACAAAAAGGTAAAAGAGAAATTTCGTGAAAACTTGAGACCTTTTATGATATTATTCCGTTTTTCTAATTCAGATACTTGGCAAAGTACAAAGTCAACTCTCACTTCAATGTCCGAAATGAATAAAGTAATGCTCCCATTACCTGAAAATCAAGACCTCGCATCAGGGAAGAGACTGAGGATGGAGACAGATGAAGGTTCGCCGGAATTAGGTTTTCCGGTGACCGGAATAATCGATGGAAAATTTGAAAGTGGGTATCTTTGTAGTGTCGGAATAGGTGGAGAGCAGCTACACGGGGTTCTTTATCAGACGACTACGTGTACCCCATTATGTGGAGTAACTCAAGATGCAACCATGGCTAGGTGTAGACGTAGACGTAGGAAGAAATCTGAAATGAAGAAGAGGGATCCTGCGCATCCGAAACCTAATAGAAGTGGATACAACTTCTTTTTTGCCGAACAACATGCCAGACTTAAATTACTTCATACAGGAAAGGATAGAGGGATTAGTAGGATGATCGGCGAACTTTGGAACAATTTAACAGATTCTGAAAAGGCGGTGAGCATGCAAAATTAAAAGAAAGATTCTTATTTTTGTTTGCATGTGTTACACAGGACAAAATTGGATAGACTGTCTAGGGTTATTGTCTATAACGTTTATGAGGTCATTCACATCTTTTGCACATAAGACAGATCGAAAACAAGTCCAAATTTTCCACCTTTTTAGGGTGGCACAAAAGTTGTTAATTTTTGTCCCACTAGTCAAAATGTGCACCAAACTCAATAAATTTGTTTCTGCCATGTCATGTCATCTCTATTTTTTTGGATAGGATAAAAGTTCCAATTTTATGGTTCAAATGTAGTAAAACCTATACAGTCATGTCATGTTGACTTTTTTGGGTGGGATAGAAGTTGTTAAATTTTATCTCACTTGGTATCAGTCCAAATGTGCACCAAACAAAGTGAAACTTGTTTCTGTCATTTCATGTCATGTCTACTTTTTTGGATGAGACAAAAGTTGTAATTTTTTATATGATGACAGTCCAAATACAATAATTCATATGTTGTCACGTTATGTCATGTCTACTTTTTTGGATGAAACAAAAGTTGCAATTTTTGATCCAATAACAGTTAAAACCTATACTGTCATGTCTATCATGTCATGTTTACCTTTTTGGGTGGGACTGAAGTGTCAATTTTTATCTCATTGACACAATCCCAGTCCCACATTGTTTCTCCTCTTTTTTGGTGTAACAAAAGTTGCAATTTTTGTCCAGTCATGTTTTGTTGGATTGTTGATATTGTTTTTATTTATTTATTTATTTTTTTGCTTCAGGTTTACCAGGAAAAAGCAGTTGAAGATAAGGAACGCTACAGAACTGAAATGGAGCATTATAGAGAGAATTTCAGAAGAGAGTCACTCATAAACAATACAGTAGTGCCATTGCAGCAACAGTATTTCACAAATATGATGCTGGATGACAACCCTGAAAACGATGGTGAAAATTCTCATCAAACTGCTGAAAACGAACTGAATTCAGGGTATTATGACAATGAAAAGAGCAGCAGTGAAGCTGAAGAAGGTACTAAAGATAAGGACTTAAATCGTGAAATTCCATTAGAAGTTGAAATGGGAGGTGAAAATGATGATGCTATAATGAAGCCAAAGGAGGAGTTTGCATTTGGTAATAAAAAATCATTTGATATTGTTCATGAAGATAATCAGTCGGTGTTTCTTCATGGATCACTTCAACAAAACTCAATATCTGTTCAAGAAAACGAACCACTAATTGAAAATGAATCAATGAAAGATGGAAAGAGTTCTGATAATCAACCGATGATTCTTCATATTAGTGATGAAAACAAGAGAGAATCGGATAACAATCAAGAAAAGGATTTAGTGTACAATGCAGAAAACTTTGAGAAAGATCCAGAAGTTTTTAAAGAAACTGAAAAGATTGAGCAAGAAACAGAAGACAAGTGAAGGAAGGATCCTTTCTTGATTAGGACTCCAATTTTGACACGAGAGAATAGTAGTTCATGACTTTATCAAGTTTAGCTTTCCTCAACAATGTTGCTTTTAGAGATTTTAGTTTTACCTTTTATGTTTTTATCTCTATGTTTTTGTTGGTAATATGTTGGTAAAACTAGTGTTTTTGTAATTCCGAGACATGATACTTTACTTACATTGGAAAAAATCAGGAGTACTATGAATGTTGATTTGGCCAAATTAAGTTGTTTCAATAAAAGAGTTATTATTCTAACAACACAGTAGCGTGATACTTAGTAGCTACAAGTAGTCCAATCAAATCGTTGACCTTTTTTTACAAGTGTATCATTATGAAAACACCTGTGATTCGGTGTTTTATTTTTACTCATGTATGCAAAGATTGAAGCCCACTCCTTATGTGGGTCCATATAGGTTCTTGAGAAGATGCTTCAAGTTAGGGTCCATATAGAAAATCCTAAATTTGAAAGTGAGTACCTCAATTAATAATTCCAAATAAAAATAAACAAAAGTCAAACCCTTAAAGAATAATTGTTTCCATTAACACTTGAAAGTTGAAGCCTACCAAAACCAAAACTTGGAATCAAGATTTAAAAACGAAAAAGGGTAATCGAAAAAGAAACCCAAAAATGCAACAATGGGTAGATTCTTGATTTGTGCCATAAGGAGCAAAAACATCATCAAACGAAAAAAAAAAAAAAAAAAGTACAATCTATGAGCGTATGTAGTCAAGAATCAGAAACAAGAATAGCATCCCATATCATATCCATGTCCAAAGATGGCATTCGACTTAGCTGAACCCCTTCAACAACATCTGATACCTCTTCTTCCATCTGCTTTTTGATTTTTTCATTGTTTACCTCCGAGTTTCTTGAAGTTTCTGATAAGGTGTTTTCTTGCAATGGTGGTGATAGTTTAGCGATACCCTTTTGAGATAAAGCTTGTAACTTTGCTTCAAGAAGAGCTGCAGTGTTGCCATTTATTGAATTGGCTTTCAACTGGTTCTTCAAATTTGGAAAATTTAAGTGCGCATAATCACCTCTTAATAAATAAGCAGCTGTATCATATGCAAAAGCAGCGTCTTCAGCTGTATCAAACGTCCCAAGCCAAACCCGTGTTCGGTTTCTTGGTAATCGGATTTCTGCCACCCATTTTCCCCAATGACGTTGCCTTACCCCTCTAAATAGCTTCCCTGGTGAACAAACTGATGCTAACAAGGATGTCCTTTTGAGGGTAGTTTCGGGAATTTGCCTCCCTGTATACTTCATCGGCTGAGTTTTGGTAGCCTTCAACCAGTAGTCACCATAACTTGACATGTTTTGAGGTTGCATGATGGTCGTCAATGATGTTTCAGTCGCTTGTGATGAAGTTTGGTTGAGTTGTGAGAATGTTTCAAGAAAATTTATCGGAAACGATGGTGATGATGATGATGAGGATGATGATGGTGATGATGGTGATGATGATGATGATGATCTTGAAACGCCATTCCATATGATGGAATTGCCAAAAAACTGTGGATGTTTGGCATATTCTTGAAAATAAGAAGTAGAGATTATTGTTTCTTTCTGGAGGAAAGTATCGATCTTAGGAAACTGATGATTCTCCATTGGTAGTGATCTACTTTGTGAATCGGAATTTAGGAAGACGAAAAATGAGAGGTTCGAGTTATATAGAAGTATGAAGGGAGTATGACTTTTTATATTTTATGTTACAGGCCACCAGATGTCACTGGTGATTTATATTTTATACTCAAAAGTCAGATCTAGAGTTAAAAAGGCTCATCAAGATTAAAACCCCACAAAAAAGTTCCACGCTTTCGTGCTCACCATTCATGATATTCTTTTGTTGACGAATGAAGTATTGACACGTCATCTCTTGGGAGTTTATGTGTTATTGTGAGGTTTGATAGATATTGTTGTATATTGTTTCTTGTTGGTGAAACTTGAGAACACACAGGCTTGCAAGTTTATTAGTAGTGATCATGTGATGTCTAATGAACCTTTATTGCTCTTTTTCTATATTTTTGTTTTCCTTTTTTTGGTTAATGATTAGACTTTGTCTTTAGATTAAGAATTATGATAAACAAGTTTAGAGATAATATAAAATATTGAAGGCTGTAGGTGTTGATGGCTGTGTTTTGGCATCAAAGAAAGGACCAACTCATGATTGGCACATGTTTATAGGCGAATTAGAAGGTAACATGCATTTCAACCTTATTATTATTATTCTAATTTTGGCAAGAAAACAACTATGACCAAATCGTTGCTGTTCTTTTTTGGATCTTAACATATGAGACGGAAAACTGAATAGAACAAATACAAATAGGGCATCTACTATTAAAAAAAAAAGACGTGTAGGTAGTACAATAAAAGAAATTATCTTTTTCACACTAAAAGAAACCCCCAAAAAAGATATCAAAGCATGCATAGGAAAAATCGATAACTACATTAAATTATGCAATAGACAAGAGGTCTCTTGCTCTCCATTTATACAAATAGGGTCTACCAAATGAAAGTAAACAACAATAAGTCTTTGTAAACGTTTTTAAAACATTACTTATTGTGTGATGGAATGCTAACAGATTCTATATTTCTATACATGCGTACACACATAAGAGGCCATTTTTTCATGGGATCTAAGAGGACTAAGAGACATGAGGCCCTCTTTTCTTAAGGTTTCTTTTTCACCTTTACTAATGTTCATATATATATATATATATATATATATATATATATATATAATATATATATATATATATATAATATATATATATATATATATATATATATATATATATAATATATATATATATATATATATATATATATATATATATAGGGAGGGTTCAATTGAGAAAAAAAAGGTTGAGAATGGGGAAATCATTCTCAGCCAATCATTTATTTTTGCCGCAAAAGGCTCCACCGTACCGACAGAAATGGGAAACGAATGCACATGTGTTTTCCAACATAACATATTTCCTTAAACTATGCTAATCATTACCTTAATATATACAAAAACATAGTTTTTTCATTTTTTTTAATTTTTTATAAGCTATTTTTATCAAAACATGATTTTAAATATACCAAAATTCATGATTTTTTATTCTCTACAAATAGACATCCATATTGATATAGTTTTAAGATAAAATAAAAAATTTATTTTTTTGATATTGTCAGCTATCGTTATTCATAAATGAATAACAATGCATCAGGTTTTATTACAGTACATTTGTTATTCACTTATGAATAAAAAGTATATATATATATATATATATATATATATATTATATATATTACAATTTAAGTATCATTCATATATGAATATAGCATATAATAGACATAGTATATTCATACTTTAATATTGGACGATGAATTCACTTGTGAATATTAACATAATATATTCACTTGTGAATATTAGATGGTATATTCACTTATGAGTATTAAATGATATTTCATATGTGAATATTACATAGTATTACATGGTATATCACATGTGAATATTACAGAGTATATTCACTTGTGAATATTAGATGATATATTCACTTATGAATATTACACAGTATATTCACATATGAATATTACAAGGTATATTCACTTATAAATATTGAAGGTATCTTGACAAATATATATAATTTTTATATGTTATTCACATATGAATAACATAAAGACTTGCATATTTGTTTTGTGTTTTTAATAATCATATACTGATTCAGGTGAGAAAACATATTCATATGTGAATATAACGTGGTAATTTAGTTTATGCTTCCGATTTCGACTTCAGATGCGACATCCTATCTCTAATCGATTTCTCAATTTGATTTTGATTTCCGAAAATCCGATTCGGAACCTGTGAGTATCGATTCTAAGTCCCTCAATGTCGACTGTGATTGAGAGTCCAGAACTCCAATTCCAATTTCATGAACAACGAAGAAATTCCGGTTTAGTTGAAGAAATCTGGATGATTATTGAAGGTTGGAGGAAATTTTTTGATGATGAACGAACAATTATCGAATTCTCTATAGTTACGTATTTGAGATTGAAGGTTATTACGATATTTACAAGTTCGCCACCGTGTCTTTTATGCTTAGATTAAATGAGTGGCTGAGAATGATTCCCCCATTCTCAACCTTTTTTATTTTCTCAATTGAACCCACCTCTCTCTCTCCCTCTCTCTCTCTCTCTCTATATATATATATATATATATATATATATATATATATATATATATATATATATATATATATAGTTAGTTAGTTAGGTTTATACATAAACTTTAAATATTGTGTGAATGTATAACTAATTTTAGACCAATCAACTCATAAGGGTATTATAGTAATTTAGTTAAATAAATTAATTGTTACCTTAATTAGATCCTATCTTTATGGAAGATAATTTAAATTTCAAAATCAAATCCTTATATTTATGTATTAAAATCATTTGTTGTGCAAATTGTCGTCTACGATCTTTCCACAACCACTATAATTCAGCCTTCATAAGCAACCACCGTTGGCACCATCAATGGTGAATCATCTTTTCTGATCAATTTCTTTACATCGACTTCGTAGGTATGTATCATTCTTTTTTCTTTATGTTTTATTATCTTACACGTATATAAGTATCAAAATTGTCAGAGATGTTTTTTCTTCTCCATTTGACCTCTCTGCCTCTTTTGATTATGCTATTCTTATTTAGCAAGGAAAGATTGTCATGAATTTTTTTTATTATGTTATTCATATTCAACAAATAGAAATTTTCCAAATTATGATATTTGTATTTAGCAAGCTAAAAATTGTCATGGATGTGTTTTTTTTATTATGTTATCCGTATTCAGCAAATAGAAAATTGCTATGAACGCATTTTTTTGTATATTTTGAGAATTATGTAGATATGGGCATATTTTGATTATTAGTGCTACTATTATTTTAGTTGATGAGGGTTGCTGGTATCGTACTTATATCCACAAAACTATCAAAGTATCATTTTCAAGATAGATAATATGATTAAGATTTTGTTTTTGACATTGTGATATTGTTCTTAAAAAAGTCAAAATCAGTCTTGTGCTAAATGATTGACTTCTTCTATGACCTACTGTTTTATTTTGGTAAATAACTTTGTTTTTATGCTAATTTAAAAAGTCAAATTGATGAACAGGTAGTAGTTGATATCAATCAGAGAAAGATGGAAATACAATATTTTTATGGTAGCATTTTTATACAAGTAGATAGCGGGAGAGGACAGTGATGCAGGTAGTAATCGGTATGGATCGGAAAGAATGGAAACACAAAAAGTTGTAGACATTGTATTATTAAAGAATTCTTCAAGAATGCTTAATTTTTGCAAGAATTATTCGGTTAATATCTTCACTTTAAAATGTAATATGATTCTTAAAGAATTATATTGATAAGTTTTATATTATTTGATAGTATTATGTCTTTTTTGTATTTGTTCTTAAGGAATGAAATGTATTTCATATATGTCACAAATTTGATGGTAGTAATTATTGAAGAATGAAAAAACTTATTTATAAAGAATGAAAGAAGCCTTTTGTATTTTATTTTTAGATAAGGAAACATGTTTAATAGGATACATGTGTACAAGGCGATTTACCATTCTGGTAGAATCAACTATTTTACAGTAGTAAACTGCTAATTAGTTTTCATTCTTTCCTAATATATATGTTTAACCGTTGTTGAATGCTAATTATTAACCATTCTATCAAAATAACTAATTTTACAAGAAGGTTTTACATTAGGCTAAAAGAAATTATTAAAAAAATTAGATAATATCATTGTTTTTAATAGATTGATAAAAATACCAACTTTAATCCATGAAAATGAACCAAAAGAATGAAGGTATTCTTAAAGAATTTTCAATATAGTGTAATATATCATATTTTTATGAATGCATACATAATAATCAATGGGGATGAGCGTGAGACGGAAGCGGTACCGACTCGTCCCGTTCCCGATTTTCCGAATACCGAATTTGATCGAAAGTTAATCCCGAGTACCGAACCGAATTAACATCACCGGTACCAGTACCGAGAATGGTAGCGGTACTCGGTACTAATACCGGTACCCGCGGTACCGATTCCCGAATTTCATGTATTTGGAGTACCAAGTACCGTCTCGTATTTTTTTAATTCGGTACGGTTCGGTACCAGTTCCGGTACGGTACCGGTACGGTATCAGGATTTGGGACAAACTGTTCATCCCTAATAATCAATAGAATTAACAAAAATAATGAAGGTATTCTTGTAGAATTTTCAATGTGCATAATTGTTACACCATATTCTTAAAGAATGCACAAACAATAAAAATTTTAAAAATATATATACGTTTATACAAATCATTGTTAACGATACACAGTAACTAAGTTAAAATTTACAATATATAATATTCTTTTTTGAAATCTAATTTAAATTTCATCACTTAATACGTTTATTTTTCATAAATTATTGTTGAAAATTTTTACTAATTTACCCTCACAATTAATTAGGCGTAATTATTTAGTAAATGTTACTCCATGTTAATATCATGTACCTTATTATCACAATCATTCAATTTTTTAAATCTGATGGACCAAAAATAGTCATACATTCACACTATATTTATAGTTCATATAGGGAAATCTTCAAAATAGTCCCAAACGTTTGGGAAAAGTTACACTTTTGTCCCAACATTTTTTTTTGAACAAAAAAACTAGATAAATTGAACATTTCGGCCCTATGTTACCGGT